CGTTCAACTTCAATAATACATTTTATTCTATGCATATTTTTTTTCTGTGAGTAATGACTGATCGATAAGTTACGCACTTCATCTAACAATCTACACCTGAGGTGCGTCAGCTGTGATTCAAGGCAAGCATTAGTCTGAAGCACAACATATACATATCATACTTTATTACTATATATACCATAATGGACTCAAGGCATTTTTATCATTCTTTATAATATTAAGTTCTATTGGTCTTGTTCTCTATTTAATTATCCCTAATGATGATATTTACAAGTTGAAAAAAGCAATTTAATTAAACGCCCAATTTATAATAATGTAACAAAAAGTTTTGAATGTGAAGCAGAAACTATAATTAGTTTCTCACACTACGATCCTTGAACAAATCTCAGGTTCTATTGCAGATCTAATTTTTAACGTGGCATTTTATGGTGTAACTTCTAAACTCTTACTTAGAACAACATGTGTTATTTATGATCTTTTAATTCTCACATGTTTTTTATTCCTATATTTTCATGGTTTTTTAGTGAAAAATTGTTTATACTTTTTTTTTTATCTTCGTTATGATAATATAGATTCACATATTTTCATCCATTTCTAAAACTATATCATTAATTGTGGGGGATTATGCTGAAATGTTATATAAGCTATTGAAAAATATTTTTTTAATTAAAAATAAAACTTCTAAACCCTAACCCTAAAAAATTGTACTATATATTTTACAGAAATGGAGCAAAATTTAAAAAACTTCATATATTTACTAATATAAAATTAAATCATAATTCGGGCCGGCATTTCAGCATGATCCAATTTCAGCATAATCCACTTAGTGAATTGCCTCGATTATATAATCCTTGATCATTGATCGATTATGCTTGATGATCGAGCACGATGTTATGGCTCGATCAAAAGTGAGTCAATCAATAATCGATTATGTTGATCGATCAAATGATCGATCAAGAAAATTTGTACAGTAAAAAAAAAAAAAATACAAAGGTAGGACACCCAGGTAACCCGTGTAAGATCTACGTATCAACTGGAACATGGCTATTGCTACTCGGGTGATTCGGGCTACTTAAGTCATTAAAGTAACTTGTTTGTTTTTATAACGGATGGAACGCGGGTCAATCTCTACGTAGGCATAATATAATCGATCAATGATTAATCCAATAATTGATCGATTATGTATGCTCGCGATTAAGCATAATAGATTTTTGGTCGATTAAGAATAATTTTTTTGATCAATCATTGATCAACGATTTTTTTGTCGAGTAAATTCCCTAAATCCACCACATTACTTACTTTTTTAGCAATATGTTATTTAGTCTGCAATTTTCATAATATTTACCTATATTCAAAAATCTTTTCAAAAATTCTAAATTCTTTAATCCATCTAAATATTATAAAATTAAATCTTTTATCATGATTTCTTGTTTTATAAATTCCATTATAATTCCTATTATTTATTTTTGCTTATCAAGTTATTTATTTTTAATTTATTTTTTTAGTAAAAATCTAAGACCTAAAAGACTTTTACATAAAAAATTTTCTTTATAGTTATTTTCTTTCTATAATACAATGTTTTTTTGAATATGATACTTATTGTACACCTAAAAGTATTGATACATATTTTTTCTTTATTCTTACCATTGTTTTAACTCGTTCTATTTTTCTAGTGATAACAATATTAGAGTTAAAGGTATTTTAAAATTTGGTATTAGGATAAATGAAGAGGCAACAAAACCTAAGTTAGTTTTGTTATAAATTACTGATAAAGACAAAGTTTCTTTTCGGTCATCAAAGGCTTTATATCGAAGTTGATCAAGGTAATACAAAATTTGCTGAAAAGGTTCAAGAATTTTACTTAAAAAGAGTTTATAAACTATTTAAAGATCATTATGAAGCACTTTTAAATTCTTTAAATAAAGATAATTAAAATATCAAAATTGAAGAAAGAAATGAGAAATATATCGTTTCAGATGACAAGAAATCATATTTCGAAATTGATAATAAGAAGATGAACATTGTATTTTCAAAAGAATTATCAGTAAAAAATTAGAAAAATCAGTTGATAAAAAATATTTAGAAGAAAGGCTTCATTATATTGAAAAGAATTTAAAAAGTAGTAAGCATAATGTCACAAACGCGCAAAGTTTATGCAAATATTCTTGAAATGGGATTATTTTTTGATCAAGTTATAAAAGAAATGAAACTCTACAATGTAATAAAGAATGAAAAAACAATCATATCAATAAAAGAGACAGGTGTGAAATGGTGTGATTCCTTGATGAATCACCTGACAGAGAAGCTCATGGCACACATGAATACGAAATTTTACAAGCTGCGCTTAATTCCTGAATTTAAACAAAACTAGCTAGTGATCTAGTCACCAAAGTTTCATTTGTTGCATGTAGGCGCTTTTGGACACTTTCAAGTAATAAGTTATATTAATAAAAAATTTCACTTGGTTTTTATTTATTTATTTATTTTTATCATTCAATATTTCATCTATTTACTCAGTTTACTTATATCAACACAGAATCCGACTTCCCTGTTTGGAGCTCATTATTTAAGCGGTTTTTTTATGAATCATATTCATTATTTTCATTATTATTTTATTATTATTATTAAAATGTTAGTTTCATAATTTTTTTTATTTTTGTAATTTTAGTTGATATTATAAAAAGTTTGAATCTCTCATTTGTAAAAAAACATGGTCTTCTGATTTTAAATAAAGATACAGTATATCGATCTTTGAGTTCAAACCCATCTTTATTATGTACTTGAAATATCGAGCACTTATGTCATTGATCTGATTTTGCAAGGACTGAGTCCCGGAAAATGATGATAAATTCAAAGAATTATGGTGCTATTCATCGTTATTAAACCGAATCAAATATCCTAATTTTCCGGTGCGGAGTATTCTTGATGGAAGATTTTATTGTGGGTATCCCAATGTTAAGCTTTATTTGTGATAGTCGTACAAACGCGTGCGGAAAATAAAAAGCGAAAAATAAGTGTAAATGAAATAATAAATAGACTAAATATGCATAAAAAACGTGCGAATAATGCGAATAAACTAACGATGCATCAAAAAGTAATGAAATAATAATAATAATATGAAAACAGAGTCTATTAAAAATGCACCATGGTTGTAACGCACAATATATCCGTTTATATTTGTAAATATCGTTCCGTGATTTCTGAGTAAATTAGAGTTACATAGGCCATTTATTGAGGATTAGATTCTTTTCTCGCGATCGCAAATTTGTGTCGCCTTCAGTTCTGGATCCTAAAAGCCTCATGACCTACGGAACTCTATTTGCAAGAAAGTCACGGGACCAAGGCTCGTTTTCTGTCACAACTAATCCACTTACCTCTAACTACTGATGCTATATCAATCACAGGGTATTAATCAAAAATATCTTTCTTCGTGTACGTGCACATAGCTCAGAATATTATTATTACTAATTTATCTTTAATAGCTTTGTTTACCATATTCCTCGAAAATAAGGTTTATTCATTATATTTTACTATAGAAGTGTTTATTTTCGAGTATTACTGTATTACAATAGATGTTAAAATGTATATTTTAATTTTCTATTTTTTTAAAGTTTCATTTGATTTTCGCGAAGGGTTTCACTAGAATTCTACACACTTTTTGCCTTTTCAATTTAATGCTACATCTTCGTCAGGGTGACTTTGGGGTTTGCCGCCAGCTTTAGGTATCAACATGTAAAAAAGGTTACACCTCGCAACCATAAATTGCTCTTTTCGCCAAGCCCCGATTATAGGTTGCACGAAAATTAGAAAGCTGGAATGACAAACACACTGTTTTTACCAGCCCACAATAGTAAAACTCTAATAGGTTTTATCTCTTTATCTGGGCTAATCAGCAATTAACAAAATAGTTAAATAGCACGCTTGATCAAAGTTTATTTCATTCCTAAGAGAATTTCTATCTCATTTGTTATGCTTCGTGGGAAAACAAATCATAAATATATATAATCGCGAATTAAACTGTGAAACATAAAATAGTTGTACAATTGTTATCTGAACCGTTAACAGTAGCTCTTCAAATGTTATCTAATATATCGGGTCAGTAGGACAAACTTATCATAACTTCTACAGAAATATTTTAGGAACACGTACGTACGTACATAATAGCTTATCAGTTATCAGTTATCATGTGCTTTCTACGATTTTATTAGCAAATTTGTAGTTTTTTTTTTGGCAGAAGGAACAAATGATACGATAATTCCGATATAGTTGATACGTACTATGTACTGTACGTGCTGAGGTGTAAATCAACTAAGTATCAAAACTATGTTAGCAAACTATAGAATTTGATATATTGCAGACTTTTATATAAACAAAGATCTAATTTAATGATGGATTATTACTAGTTTTACATTATTATTAAGTGACCTCTTCTAAATTAAACTCTATCAATGACACGGAGTTACATTGAGATTTTCACAAACTGGCTATAATGCCTAAGAGCAAAACTATGTTTCAAGATCCTCTAATAAGCAAGTTTGGGACATTCACTTGTAAAATGATTTAAATTTCTTTAATTAGAACAAAAAAAAATGTATCTTAAACAAACATGCAAGCTCAAAATTTAATTAGAACTTCGCAAAAACTCATAGTTACTTTGAAATAATTCTGATCAGCGTTTTCAAAATAAAAAAAAGCACAATATTTGTGTGAATCCTTTAGAATTTTACACATTTCTATAGTTAAAATTACTTAAAATCATTCGATTGATCATTTTTAATATTATCTGTTATCACCCAATACATCGTACGTACATACGTAGTTCGAAATGTATTTGGTATACCACAACGTGGGCTAAAGAAGTGTTAATAACATATGTAAATACTCGGTTAAAATGATTTAATATGTAATAAAATTATAATAATAATAAAAAGTTGACTAATTTAATTATTCATGAACTAAAACTATAGCTCTTCCATCATACTTATTACTAAGTACACATTCATTAGCAATAAATTTAGCCAAGACTTTTCTTTTCACTCTAAATTCACCATCGGGACGCTTTTCAGGATCAACTTGAACATCATGATCAGAAATATCATTTGTCAAACCAGGTGGTCTAAGAAATATATAATTAACCTTTTCTCCATCAGTAGCTTCTAAAAAAGTATCTTCAAAGAGTATCATATCTTCAAATGAAGGTCTACACCAAATTCCAAACGTATACTGATTCCATAAGGATCCTTTATCGGCGTTTCTAGCTGACATTGCTGTTATTCCAATAAATTTAATTTGTTTTCCTGGTATATTTTTTTGTGTTTCAATTATAGCTTCTCGAATCCATTCAGCTGGTCTTGAATAAACTTTATTCGGAAGGAATGCATTTGATAATTTTGTACCAGCTGCAAAGATAATAATATCATGCGAAGAAACTAGCTTTTTCACTTCTACTTCATCAATAAAACTATTTTTAATAACTGTTAAATTTGAATTATTGAAATCAGGATGATCTTCAAGGCCATTATTATTAATTGTAGCCGTAATTTTGTAGACAGCTTTGGGTGTTGATGCTTCTAAAAGATATGTTATCACCATACGAGCTGTAATAAAAGATATATATTTATTTATTTATTTATTTATAAATAACTTTATTATTTCTTTGACTTCAATCTCAACTACTTTAATTATCAAATAATTCTCACCGGTTCTTCCAGCCGCTCCATGAATAAGAACTTTAATTTCTTCTCTCTTTTCCGAAAGAATCATGTTTCTTTTTTTAAACGAACGCTCCAAATCTCGTTATTTTCATTTTTAATATAATTAATTTTTTAAGATCAACAATAAAAATGACGATCATTATGTGATTAATATTTTGATAATGGAATTCGATGTAAACAAACCTTTATCCATAATTACTGTAACAATTTTGTTCAAAATTGTATTAGTTATTAAACTAGCGACAAAATTCCTTGTTCTGTTTCTAGCTGGTTTTTATTTTCTTAATTCTTTTTTTAGCTATCGCTATTAAATTAAATTTTTAATTGTCGAACATCATCTGGGTCTCGGAAAATTTTGGAATTTATTTACGTTATACAATTATCTACAGGAGCGACCGTCGATGTTACACGACTGGTTTTTCACGCGGTGTGAAACACATAAAAAAATTATTTTACAATA